CCTTTTAAGTATTGAAATCTGCCTCTGAACACCTTTTGGAGCTCTTCTATGAATTCGGCATAGGGTTGGTGTGACCCCTGGGTAATTTTGGAAAAGGAGCCTATGGCCCCAGAGGCAGGATCATCGACCTTATCAAGGGCTTTGATAGCGATGATACTGACAAGGGTGAGAACTTGCTGTGGGATCGCTGTCTGGGATGTTAATTCAGCGAATTGGCCCATGCCAAAAATTTGATCTGTTCTTGAGCCACGATCGTGAGCAATTTTCTCAGCTTCAGCACGAAAGTCTGATTCCCACACAACGTACTGCGGTCCTGTCAGTATCATTCGGAAGAGGTCTTTCCAGTCTTGGGGTAGCATAAAAAAGGAGGTGCTGATGGTGTTAATGAGACCTCTGACATACGGTGCCTGAATGCCATACATGGCCACAGCTTGTTTTAAATCTCTAATTAATTTCATGGATAAGGGCTCAAGCCTGGGCACCATATTCCCAGCACTATCCCCCACATATTCTATGGGGCAGAGGGAGAGCTCCTCTAGGGTAAGAGAGCCCTCCTTGCGCCCCTGTGCCATGGCTTGTGCAACTGCTCCCATGGGTGTCTGATCCCCCACAGGATTTAATTTAGGAGGAACCAAGGGTTCAGGAGCTGTGAGGGAAGAGGCTTCCAGTGGGAGAGCATCTTTGGTTTTGGTCTCAGCAGCATAGGGAGGGGGACCTCCTGCAAGGGGGGGGGCTGCCAGCGTTAGTCAGCGCTGAGCTCTGAACTATCAAACATTCCATTACTACCCTCCAAGTGGTTAAAATCTTTGGCGGAGCCCTGGGAGTATCATGAAAAAAGTCACCCAAACGTTGCCATGTGGAGACTTTTAAGGACCCCTTTTCCGGATAAGCCGGACATTGCTTGTGGATGTATTTTAAAAGGGCTCTGAGGTCCTTTTTAGTTGGAGCCAGGAGCTTTTTGCCCTGACTCCTAAGAATCAAAATTGAGCTCTTCGTTAATTCCCTTAATTCCTGCAGATGCACCATCTGCGCTTTAGAGAATTTCCCGCCCATACTCACCTGAAGGGAGGATTTCTCCTGGGGAAGGATCCGTGACTAGACGGCGTCCCTGGGTTGCAACTGGCTCGTCCGGCCGGGTGAGATGGGAGGTTGAAGGCAGGCGGGTCCGCTTCTTTTCAGCAGATCACGTCGGGGTCACCAGATGCGGCTTTGCTCCGCATTAGGAAGGCTTCTCATTGAGTCCAATGCATCAAGAAAGACACCAAGCCAGTTCAGTCTTGGATGAGCAGCCCTGAGCACGCGCTCAGGGAAGCCCTTTTATTGAACACAAAACGTCACAAAAGAGAGTTCAGCCTACTTTACATGTTAAAAGGGTTGGGGGTCTCAGTGGATATGTTGTAGCACCCAATCACAGTGCTTAAGGGATACAAAATAACCAATCCGCGCCTGCAGTCCAGCCAGTAGCCCAAGGTGGGCAGCATCCTTTTGTTCCTGATATCTGCTTTCAGCCTACGTGAGGCCTTGCAGGTATCGAAGACTCCGTTGCCTACGTGAGGCTTGGCATATATCAAAACTCCTTTGCCTACGTGAGGCTTGGCATATATCAAAACTCCTTTGCCTACGTGAGGCTTTGGCATATGCCCAGGCTGTTAGATGTGGATTCGCTGCTGCAGACATCTTAAAAGAAATGTAAAGTGCTCCCGTGGTGGATTGAGAATGAGGCAGTCTACATTATCACAATATCTTTAATAATGAGAATAATTATGGACTTCCGGTTGCAAGGCTTCGGCGGCGGCAGGAATCCACTTCTCTGCGGGTCCCTGCTGCGCTCGCCGTCGAGGTACCCCTGATCCAACTGGATTTGGGGGTTGTCGCTGCCCTGAAGGGGCAGCGGAAGACAGAGGAGATCCGGGCAGGGGTCTGGGGATATCGCACCCCCTTTCCCCAGCTGGCTAGACTCCTTTTTCCTGAGGCGGTGGAGCGGCTGTCAGCAATGGCAGCCACAAAGAAATCTTCAACCGGATAAGATTGTGCAGGAGGAAGAGCCAGAAGGAGTTTTCTTGGCTGAACTGGGACATTAAGTTACTTTTAAAACACCCTGGAAACCTGACTTTGGATTGATACATTTGTTTCCAAAAGAATTTGTTACATCAGCGAAAGTGCTGAAGGAAAGCTCACTCTCCTTCCTTATGGAGAAAGCAAAGGAGCACAGAAAAATCTGTTTTTTAAAGGTAAAAATAAGCTCTTTGTTACAAGTGGGAAGGAGAGGACTAAAAATTTTTTAAAAAAACTTTGTTGGAGGAGACGCCTTGAAGATTACAAGACCATCAATTAATTGTAATACGGCTTTTAAAATACACTTGGGATTTTGCCCCTGGAGGAAAAACTGTAAAGAGAAGAAGAGGAAATAATTTTTGTTTGTTTGGATTGTTTGATAACTTTGACATTTGGCAATTACTTTAAGATTGAAAGCATCTGGGTTGTTTTTAAAAACCTATAATGGTACCATCTGTTGATGAACTGAACATGGAATATGAAAAATTAAAAGAAAGACAACAAAATGGCAAGGATTCCTTGGGAGCTGCCTTCCATTTTTTAGATATGGCGGTTTCTACGTACCAGCAAATACTGGAGGAAGGAGGAGAAGAAGAAGAAGAAAAGGAAGAAGCCATCTTTAATGGACTAAAAAGTTCGATTAAGAAAGAAAATGGGAAGAGAGGAAGGAAAAATGAGAATTTAAGATTTAATAAAACAACCAAGAAAAAGAAAAATAGGGTGAAAAGAAGGTACAATGTTAGAAAGCAATTGAAAAGAGAATTACAACAGAGAGGGGAAGTTAAAAAGGGGGAGGCTAGGAGAGGGGGGGCGCAAAAAGACCAGATTGGAGAAGAAAGGGAGGGAAAAAGAAAAAAAAAGCCATGGGCTAGAACAAGATTTTAAAAAGAAATTTTTTTTTAGAGATGAAGGATAATGGATAGTGCATAATTAAAGAAGATTCTGCAAGAGTGCATAAGATAGTATTGTAGTATTTGCATTTGAAATAGTTTATTGGAATATTTAATAAAATATTAATGTTTAATAATGATAGATGTTAATATTTAATAAAATATTAGGAGAATGTGTAAAATGATTAATGCTTAATTATAGTTTAATTTGTTATTGTTTTAATGTTATTATAACCTTAGTATTTTATTTTCTTATTCTAAAACAATGTACTTATCAGAATTAGAATTAGAATGGAAATTATACATTTAACTATACTATAAGTTTACTATTCTTTTATTTTAAGATTTAATATGTAGAATGTACTAAGCAGAATCAGGATAGAAATTATGTATTATTTTAAGTTTTACTTTAGGTGAAGGCGTCATACTTTAAAAGTGATTACAGGGGAAATTTTTTGTTAAAGAGAAGAGATAAATAGATGTTTGGTAAAGAACGGACAAAAGATATAAGCATAATGATTTTGAAATAAGACAAAATAAATAAAACATAATTAAGAGAGTGAAAAGATGGGAGAAGTTATATAGAAAATATAAAATGGTTAATAAGATATGAAGGGTATATAAGGTGGGCATGAATTTGATTTAGGTCTGTCAAAAAAGATGTAACGCGGGGCTAAGTCACTTTTCAAAAGAAGTTCTATGTTTTATGTTTTGTGTGTTGATTAGTTATGTTTGATTGTAAATTAATAAAATCTTGGAGGAATGAAATCAAAGGGAGAGAAATTGGGAAAAGACATGTATAAATGACAACTAAGGAGGGTTTTTTTTTAATGTTTTGCTTTAGGTTATGTATTTTGTGTGCTTATGACTGATTGAGAATTACTAAAACTTTGATAGAAAGAAATATAATTGAACAAAAGTGAAGGAAGAAATAATGAGAAATTTGGAAAAGATATATATGTGTAAATGGAAATGTGATAATGTGGAACTATGTTTTTAAAAAATAATGCTTTATTTGCCTTGTTAAAATTTATAAGTAATTCTTAGAAAGGAGGTTTTATACTTTTATGTGTTATGTTTTGTTTGTCTTCAAAAATCAATAAAACTTGTTCTTATAAAAAAAAATGAGAATAATTATCTCAGACATGCATGCCAATGCATTCATTCACATAGATTCAAAAGAAAGTGCAGGGGTACAAAGAGAAATTCTGCTGAATCATATCAAATTAGAAAACTCCACATCTTAAGGCAGAAGTAAATTTCCCTGGAATTTACCCAAAGCAGTATGCTACTGTAGTATATTGTTTTCCCATAGAAGTCTGCTACCTTTGGATCTGGAAGTTTCATTTTGCTCTTCAAAAACCCATGGAACTGTCTGATTATAGCCGTGTCATTAAGAGCAATCAGAAAGGAACCAGAATCACACATAGACTTTATTCAGCCTAGCAGAAATTTCAAAGTATGCAAATAATTACTGCACCCGATTTTCTTTTTCTAAATAAGGAGAAATTGTGACTTCTGGAAATGTGCAAACTGTCTTGCAGAACCCTGTCTGAAGCCTTCTGAGTGTGCTGAACCACAACTTACAAACCCCACCGACTATCCTTTCGGATGTGGAAAAGCCCAAGGGTTGATGTAGTGCAACCCACCTGGAGAGTGCCAGGTTGGGGAAATCTCGTTCCTATTAGAATATTTTGAACTTCCCGTAATTGTGTATTATTGCTACCTAGGAACGACGAGGAGGGAGATTCTAATATATCTGGGATAGAATGTGTTCATTTGGCTACCTTTGAAAATCGCCCTTCGTAGGGCAAGGAAAAGCCCCGCCGGGAAAGTAACAACTCCTTTGCTGACATGAACCCAACGCAAAGTTGTGAGTGGGAGCCTCTGCACTTTGGGCAGGAAAGGAAGTGGGGGAGGAGACAGCCGCACTCGCCCCCCCACTAGGTCGCTGCCCGAGTGCCCTAAGCCCTCTCCTGCTGTGGCCGCCCCGCCTACGACCGGCCCCGCCTGCTCTGCTCCTCCCCTCCGTCCCTTTCGCGGCCGTTTGTGCCTCGATCTGTCTGCGCCTGGCCTCGGGGGGGAAACCATGGCGCCCAACGAAGAGGACAGCGCCGCCGGCAACGGGTCGATGGAAGAGAAGGAGAATGGCAAGAAGGTGCTTCGGCCTCGCAGCTCGGTGACCACAGCCTGGCTGATCTTCTACAACATCACCATGACGGCCGGGTGAGCGGGGTGTTGCAGATGGAGCCGGCGGTGGGTCGAACACGGAACTGTTCCTTCTCCCCGCCCCAGGGCGAAAGGCTTCCTCTCCGAACTACGGACAGGGCTGTACCTGCTGGGCACTGTGGTGAGGGGAGAAAGGGGGCGGCATTGGCGGGGCAGCGCGAGCGGTGGCTGGGGGAGAAGCCCTGGCTTGCTTGCATTGCCTAATACGGTGCAGACTTCCAGCAAGACGAGCACGTCATCCCTCGAGCCCGCCGGAGAGGTTAAGTATAGCCCGAGCCCGGAATGCCGGCCGGGGGTTGTGGAATGGGGCAGACTGCTTCCCTCGGCATAATTTATTGCGGTGGCCGCCGAAGACAAGAGCATGTTCAGTCGGCGCTCGGTCCCCTCCCACTGACTCGAGCCGTCTTCCTTCGATAGCACCTGCCCGGCCAGATGGCCGCGGTAACCTGAGCCTGAGGTGGATCAGGGAGCATTTAATCCCAAACCTCCAGGGTGACGTGAGGGTTAGTGGGCCTTAAAGGTGGACTTCTAACTTTGTTACAAAGTTGTAACTTAGTTCGATTTCAGCTTAGCCAGTTGTGTTGCTTTAGCTGGTTTTAGAAACATTCCTTAGCACAGTGGTTCAGCTGATCACCATGGTTTGTTTGAACATCGCCTATTGAATAAACCATAATTTCATGTCTGATCTGATTTGTACTTTGAAACACTTCTGAATGAATGTTAAATTAAGAGATGTTTCTTCTTCCATAATAGATATAAATGACAATAGAATGTTCTCCCAAAGAGAAGGCATCCTGCCATTATCAACTCTACTTCTGCCTGAGCATATTTTCATAACTTATTTAAAAAGTTGAAAAAAAAAACCCATTCTCCATTCCACCCCATTTTTTTCTTTTGGGATGCTTCATGTTCTTCAACATGTCAAGCCCAAAACCAAGAATGTCAGTGGTCATAATTCTTCCAAGGTCTTTGTTTCACATATCTAGACAAAATCTTCCCAGACTGACGACTCTGCCTGAGGACTCCTGAGGACCCACCTTTATTATTACATAAAGAGAGTACAATATGTGTACAATGAGATTAGCTACACCTACAGGATATTCTATATCCCTTTATTAGAGAGGGACTGTCTTCTCTCTTTCTGTAGTATCCCGACTGAGTTGCCTCTTATTCTTCTGGAATGCACCCTCTTTCTCCTGGGAATCCATCCCTAACTACAGTCCATCACAAACATTAGTGAATCCAACCTTTGTGATTTATGATTCTGTTTCTATGCAACCACTTCTATACTTTTACCCCTAAATTACATCTATAATATCACTAATATCTGGCTTGATTTGTTTTGTTTTATTTATTTATTTGTATCCTGCCTCTATTATTTTTAGAAATAAGGCAGCAAACCTATCCAACACACCTTCCTCCTCCTATTTTCCCCAAAACAACAATCCTGTGAGGTGGGTTGAGCTGAGAGAAAATGACTGGTCCATGATTAGCTTTTATGAGTAAGGCAGGCTTGAACTTATGGTCTTCTACTGGTGCCTTAACCACTAGACCAAACTGATACACGGAAGATGTGTCTTTCTACTATGTATAAATTATTTACACTTGCTATTTATAAGCAGTCAGATATTCTTATTCAGCAAACAGTTGTTAAAACAGTCCATAACTTGGTGCCTTGTAGAACCTTACTCTTTGTCTAAACTTATCATAGGATTATGTATAATATAATATCATGTGTCTTCAGTAACATTCCCCACAAAAGCTTTGGTTTCAGATTCAGTTTATTGCACTCTACAATAGTAAGCTTAGGTTGGACACGTTATGAGGAGCTTCTATTCCTAGTTCTATTCTATTCCTAGATACATTTCAAAAGATATGTTCAGACCTCACTACCTAAAGGTGCTTAAGATTTGTTTTATTTATTTACTCAATCACATTCGTCCTGGAAAAGGTCTAGCTGTATTCTGTGTAATTGTTACTTGATAGCACATAGTCAATCATAACCAATCCAAACAACTTTTTTTATATTTATTAAGATTTTTTTTATCAAAGTTTATGAAAGCTTTTTTTAAAATAGAGAGCTTGAAAAAGTATGGAATGGACAAACTTTTCTTCCTTATACTGTATAACAATAATCCCAAAGAATATTTCACTATCTAAGGCAGAATTTAGCTTCTTTCCTCCCCATGCTGGGGAGAGCAGTCTCATGAACTATACCTCCCACATCCCTTTGACTAGGAAAATTGCTTTGAAGAAACTTGTGGTTATGAGTTTTTGCACAGGTATCTTCCTTCATTTTGCTTCATAGTAGAGGCATTCCATAATTTTGGAATCATAATTGAATGCTTTGTGTAGAAAATAAAAAATAAAATTTAAATTTAAAAAATGACTTCCTAATTTGCTGCATATTAATGTATCTATCTAATGTGTAAATAAAAATAAAAGAAATAAAAGAAATTCAGTTGGACCATGAATAATAGATGAGATTAGAAAAAGGAATCATCTGAAATATTATCTTGCTACAGAGTAAACTTGATCTCAATTCTTTCCAGTACTTTCTATCTGTATAAAAACACACTTAAATACAAAACAGATGAATGACAGTGCCTAAGAGATGATGACATATACATAACTGATAAGGGACAACATGAAAATACTTTAACTTCATTATTCCATTAAGGATATTGTTTTTTCTGTTTAGGTGGCTTGTACTGGCTATTGCCATGGCCCGATTCTATATGGACAAAGGGACATACAAAGGCTTATATAAAAGCATTCAAAAGACACTTAAATTTTTCCAGACTTTTGCTTTGCTTGAGGTAAGTTTTTAGTAAATATATCTTATCTGAAAGGAGAATGTGAATCTGGACAAAAAATAGTTAGCAGCCTAAATAATTGTTGCCAGAGACTGCTGGGCCATTAATGAGATCAGAAGGTACTTGCAGAATATATTCTGAGGTATCAACTGTAGCTTTCACAGTGTCATTTACAAATTGTTCCCTGACACCTTGTTAAGTGTTCATTTATGACAAAAGGAATTGGAGCCAGAGTTTGTAGTTAATTTTCCAGAATGCCTCCTTGGGATTCTGATTTCCAAACCAAGAGCCTTTTTAAAATGAAAGGCCTTAGAAGTTGCTAGAAGTCACTGGAGCTGCGTTAGATGAACTAGTGCTTTCAGATGAGAGCTGTACTCACCCGCCACTGATAAAATATATGCAACTGTAATAGTTATTTTGTGAGATGTCAAGATCAAATTATAATTCATGGACATCCCATATGAAAGTGCTATGAGAGGATTTCATCTTACAGACTTTAATGTTGCAAATTTGATAGTAACTCTCTGTGCTTATTTAGCACTTCTCCAGGGGATTGTGATGTAGTCTAAATTCAATTAGAATATGGGTAGTTCTCAACTAATGACTGTAACTGAGCCTGGAATTATGGTTGTAAGATGTGACCATGCTCAGTTTTACAATGTTTTTTGTGGTGGTCATTAAGAAAACATAATGAACTCCTAAATGAACACCAGTATCATATAATGAGTCTGTTTTCCCCAAGAGATGGTTTTTTGTTGTTTTTTTTTGTTTTTGCTGGAGACTGAAACAAATGCCAGAAACTAGCAAAAAAAAATATATCCCAAAATCGTGGTCAAGTGGTTGAACGATGGGTGCAGCTGTCAGCTGACATTTGAAAACAAGTGATAAATAACTCTGGAAGGTCTGTCTTAACTTTGAGTCATTAAGCAAAGACTACCACTATTTTGTGATGCATCTGAAACTTGTTCAGAAATTCCTGAAAGATCAGGAAGATCTGTATTGTTGGGCTTCTGTAGTTCCAGATATCCAGTCCTCTTTCTTTGTGCTGGCTATTACCCATTATGATGTCATTTCCTGTTAATCAGTCTCTGAGCAGTTTAATGCCTATTTTGTTTTTTAAAAAGTCCCTAAGTATTTGATACCTACACTACACTCCGTTCACGCTTACTTGCAGTAATGTAGGGAAAGTCTTCTTGTGCTCTGATATCCTGGGGATTTGTATTTGTAATCATAAATGCCCAATGATATGCACTGTTTGGAAGGGAGTAAAACACACTACACATTAATGATCATAAGGCAGTGGTTAAGAAATATAGAAACTCATTCTTATGTCCCAACTAATCCCTGGAACTCTATTAGGTGGCTTTGGGATAATTAGTTTCAGCTCAGATTCCTTCATTGGACTACTGCTAGGGGCATAAACTTAGGGGAAAGCCTCAACTGAGTTGTCTTGCAAGACAAAGCAGAATAAAAATTAATAAATAATAATAAAGAACAATAAAGAATCCTAATTGCGATCCTCTAAAAATTACATGTGAATGGACTGTAGGTACACACTTTAAATGTCGTTACTAGAGAAATATATAACAACCTCCTGTAGCTTGCATTTGAAGCTAGTTTGCACAATTCCCTAGTTGTCCAGGGTGGATTTTACATTAAGACATGAATAAGAAATATGGCCATCCAAATTCTTTGAAATTCCTCCCATCAGCTACAACCAGCATGACCATTGGAAAAAATTAGTGGGATACGTTGGAAGCATCATTCATTCTTTATATCTTGTGCCCATATGGTTTCTCCAATTTTGCTATTTTTAATTAAGATTTATTATCACGTGTATTTTTTCAAGATGTTAGACTTCATAATTTTACAGGTCCCAGGATTAGTTAATTAGATATTGAACTCTAGTGCCATATAATTATTTGCTTATCTTTTCAACTTCTAATCATGCCTTTTCTCCCCTTGGACATTAGCAACAATTAATAGAAAAAATGGATATGCAATAATAAATGCTATGGCTAAGTTGGGGTTGCATGTTAGTCGTAACTATGAAAAAGTGAAAGGGAGAGAGAAACAATTAAATAAATTCTAGACTGACAACACTATTTTACACCAAGTAACACAAGTAGTAAGCACTGTGCTAACAAGTAAGATTATATTATTTTATCCACTTACAACTGGGGTATATCGTCACCTCTTCCAATCCTTTTGTATTGCATTATAATTCTCTAATTTGAATAATTAACTTGAAATCATAACAAAGATGCCAGGTTGGTCAAAAGTGCCATAACCAGTAATTTGTATAATCTAAATTGGATGCATTTTGGCTGAGATAAGAAAAAGGACAGCCTGCTATTATATCACATTTCTTTTCATGATGGCTTCTGTTTTTTAATTAATATTCCTAAAATGAATTAGGTAACCAGTCTCTCTTTATTGCCAGAATCCTACTCCCAAATTGGCAAGTAAACATACTTCTCTAGTAATTTTTCCATGATTACTGTATAGCTTGTATTTTCCACATTAAAATTCATTCTTGATACAAGATCCATGTACAAATTAAATTTATTATTTCCATGTGTATGTGTAAGAAAAATATCTCTGGAAAGAATACAGCTAAGCAGAGATTTTTCCAGCTATAGTTCAGTTCTGAATACTCACATTCTAATTCCTTCTGTTTACCCCTCCTTTCAATTTTCCAGATAATCCACTGTGCGGTTGGTGAGTCTCTTTTCAGTTTCTCAGTTAACTAAGCCCACTCTTACTTTATTGGACAACGGTGACCTATTTCTCTTTTTAAGGAGTAGTGCACACTTCTGTGCTCGTGACGGGGGTCCAAGTGAGTTCCAGAATCTTCATGGTATGGTTTGTTACACATAGTATAAAACAGGTAAGTGTCAAAGTGAACATTGCATCGCTCAGTGCACAATATCCTGGTATCACCAAAACAGTTAAACATTTAGAGATATATTGAAATTCTTGAACTATAAGTTAGCATATACCAGGGATCTGCAACCTTAAACACTGAAAGAGCTGTTTGGACCTGTTTCCCACAGGAAAAACAACACCAGGAGCCACCATACCTGGGTGGGCATGACCAACTCATTCTCACCCAGTCACATGACCCCCTAACTATGCCTACCCAGCCACAACACCTTTCTCTCTCTTTCTATGTCTCTCTCTCCCCCCTCTCTGTATCTCTTTATGTCTCTCTCCCTCTCTTCCCTTCTCTCTTTATCTCTCTCCCCACTCTATATGTCTCTGTGTGTGTCCCTCTCTTTCCCTCTGTATCTCTCTGTATCTTTCTCTCCCTATCTTCCCCTCGCTCTCCCATTTTCTCTGTATCTCTGTGTGTATCTCTCTCTCTTCCTCTGTATCTCTCTGTGTGTCTCTGTCTCTTTCGCTCTGTGTCTCTGTCTTCCCCTCTCCCTATTTTCCCCTCTTTCCCACTCTCTCCCTGTGTCTATCTCTCTGTGTGTCTATCTCTCCCCCCCTGTGTGTGTATGTATGTATATGTGTATGTGTTTGCCCAAAGAGCCGCATGCAGCTCTGGAGTCGTGGGTTGCCGACACCTGGCATAGAACCATTGTCAATGGCACAGACCTATAAGGTGAAATGAAAAAGTCCCTAGTAATTACACATGGGTAAAGTGATTGTAAAAGCCATTGAGGCTGGATATACGACTTTTATGTTTTGCCATTCCAATAGTAAAGTGCTCCGTATTAAAATAACTAAGAAAAAGTACCTATTCTTGCAATGCATATTATAAACTGGAATTGGATAAAGAGATTTCAGTTTGAGAAGAAACATGCAGTTTTAGACAGCTTAAATTTTGGATATACAGCCTAAGAGCAATTATTATGCATTAAGTAGTGTATCTATGCTTTTGATTTGTTGAAAAATAGAAATAAACAAAAGAATGGAGCCTAGTCCTTCAATGTCCCATTAATTTCAATTATATTTTATAGTTTGTAGCTTTCTTCTGTTCTGATACACTACAAAGGGATTATTGATATGTCAGTAAATGTTTTGAATCAAAAATGTAATCTTGATTCCAACCACCGGGCCGCAGACCGGTACCGGTCCGTGGAACATTTTCTACCGGGCCGCCGGTTTGCTGGGTGCCACCATCTTGTTTTGATGAGAGCTTCCGGTGAGCTTTTCCGGTTGGAAAGTGGCATTTGGGTCCTGAAGGAATCCTCACGCCTTAGTTTCATCGAAGGGGGAGGCAGCTTCGAACAAAACTAAGGCGCGAGGATTCTTTCAGCACCCAAGGCAAGGCGAGCCGAGCGGCCGTCCCGAAGCCCATTGACAAAGGTACAAAGGAGGAGTTGAAGGTGGTGGGGAGAAGCGGGGGACAGCTGGCTGGCTGGTCGCTCAGCTCGCCTTGCCATGCGTGCTGATGCCGGTACCGGGCCGTGGCACAAAAAAGGTTGGGGGCCACTGCCTTATACCATTTTGGTTAGATGGGGTGCAAATTTTATTATAATAAGATAAACAGTGTTTTATTCTATTTCATAGCCTGTTGGATCAATTCTTTCATTTAGGAATTGTTAGTAAATTGATTGTGATTACTGTGTGAGTGAATCTTAGATTTTAGAACTTTTGCTCACATAAAGCTGGTTTGTTTTTGTATACCCCTGTGCACTTTGAAACAGTTGGATCTCTCACCAGCAGATGGCACTTAGTGATTTCCTTATGTAGGAAAGTAAGTAGGAATGGCCTCTTCCCACTGATTAAAACTCATATGTTTTTTTTCCCTCTTCCTAGGGTACTTGAAAGTTTTTTTTATTAGATTAGATAATTAAACAAGATTTATATATAAATACTTTTTCAGCATCAGTAGAAGGTATCACTTAGTTTCTAAGGTATTGATCATGTTAGGTTTATGTTTCTCAGAATGAAAAATGTAAAAAAATCACAATGATTCCAGGAGAATATTAGAGCCAAAATCACAGGAAAAAAAATACAGCTAGTTCTCAACTTACAACCATCATTGAGCCCCAGATTTCCATTGCTAAGCAGGGCAGTTGTTAAGTGAATTTTGTCCCATTTTGAGGCTTTTGGCCACACTTATTAAGTGAATCAGTGTGGTTATTAAATAAATCATGTGGTCATTAAGCAAATCTGGCTTCCTCTGTTGACGTTGCTTGTTGAAAGCTGGCTGAGAAGGTTACAAACAGTGATAACATGACTCTGGTATAGTGCAATTGTTATATGCCAGTCGCCAAGTGTCCAAATTCTGATCATGTGACCATGGAGATGTCGTGACAATCATAAATGTGAAAACCGCTCATAAGTCACTTTTTTCAGTGCTGTTGTAACTTCAGATGGTCACTTAATGAATGGCTATAAATCAAAGGCTATTTATAAAAGGCTATCCAGCCAAGAAAAAAAGTTTAAATAATTGTAGAGTGATACTGTTATTAGAAATAACAAAAAGGTTATAAAGCTTTCTGATTTATAATGCATCAAATTAAACTATACTATGTCATATACAAAACAAGTATTCAGGTTTCAAAAGAGCAATTGCTTTAAAAACCTAAATGTGTGATGATCCCACACTTGATTTTCTATAGCAATAAATAAAGATACATAAATTAAAAATACTGTTTTAGTGTATTATTATAAAACACAAGTAACCTATGTATGGGTACAATAGTATTTATACAGTGTTGACTGTATAATGTTGTCTGTTGAATTAGTATTTATACAGTGATGACTGATGATTTAGATAACTTTAAAGATAAAGAGAAAAAAGTTAAGTAATGAGTTTTCTAAAATGTTAAACTTAAGCATAATAAGCGTAGGATTGTTTATATTTTACACCTAGAGGTGAATTTAGCTTTGACAAACAACTGCAAAATGCTTAAATTATTTTATATGATAAAGGTTTCTACCTTAATAATGAAGGACTTCACAATTATTTATTATTGTTGTTTATTGTTTTCTTCATATTAGAAAGAAAAGGTTAAAAAGCAATTTGATTTCTGTCTTATCCCTTCTTCATGCCTTAACTAATTTGCATTGTTTATAATAAGTTTATTTATATATTGTAAATATTATGACTTATTATAAGTTTACAACCCCTCCCTCGACTCCCAGAAACCACAGTTTAAATATAACAATGTTGATACAAAAGTTAAACAAAAATATTCCTATTCCTTAAATACTTATAGAGAAATTTTTTTGAATACACTAACAAAATTGATATTCTTAAAACTGATATTAAAATGTATTACTCATTGTAGTGCATTAGCTGGAAGTATCCAAGGTTCTCTTTTCTCTTAAAAAATGATTTAGAATTTTTATTTTATTTCTCAGACGTCATTGGAATGTGTATTAGCCTTCAAGCAAGATCTATTACAAAATTCTTCCTATTTTAATGAAAGGAAAATTACTTGTCTATAATGATTCTCAGAAACTAATCAATAGATCTTATTTTGTAAATCTAGGAATTAGTTTAATCCACCATAGATGCTGATGTCATAAAAGAATGGCTAGATCAATACAAACTCTTGAAACAGTGAAAAGACTAAAGGCTTTTCTCCATCTGCCTAAGAACAGCAAAAAAAGTTCTTCATTGCAGCAGTGGTAACATTTTATTTTGAAAAGTACATGCAAGAATTTTTAATTTGTTTTGTTTTATTCTTTTATGGATCAAAGGTGTTCTGCCAAAGAATCCCTCAAAACCTGACCCATTACAACATCTGTAAAAAAAAAATGTTTTTTTTTGCCAGTTGTCTGAATAGTTTTGCATCCCTACATGTATTTATGATAGAATTCTAAAGAAGTTGTTTCTGAGAAACTACTGTAGCATTCTACTAACCTACTGTTCCTCCAGAAGTATAGGATTTCAAAATTCAGAATTCCCCACCTAGCTTGGGCATTTTTTATTTGAAATTCTGAGTTTTGGAATTCCATTACATCTGTAGAGCACCAGGCTGGGGAAGGGTGATGGAGATAGTAGGACCAAATATAAATGATTATCTTAAAAAAAATAATGCTAGAAACAGAAGGGAATGGCTAGTTTTAAAATAAGAAAAATGTTACAGTACATATCAGTTCTTTGCTTCTACATTTTTTCTGTTTAATAGTAACCTACTCACTTTTGGCAGTTCAGCGATTCAAATCCCTAGTGCTGTGTTATGGGGTTAGCTCCCGTTATTTGTCCCAGCTTCTGCCAACCTAGCAGTTCAAAAGCACGTAAAAAATGCAAGTAGAAAAATAGGGACCAACTTTGGTGGGAAGGTAACAGTGTTCTGTGTTCCTTTGGCATTTAATCATGCCGGCCACATGACCACGGAGACGACTTCGGACAGCGCTGACTCTTTGGCTTTGAAACTGAGATGAGCACCACCCCCAGTGGTATATTAACCATTAAGCAGACTAAGCACATGCTTAGGGCACTATGTCCATAGGTGAGAATATGGTTTCATTTGTACAGTATGTAGAAGGGGGCACCAAGATTTGTCAGTGCTTAGGGCACCAGTGAGCCTTAATCCGCCACTGACCACCCCCTAGAGTCGGAAACCATTAGCACGTATGCATAAGGGGAACCTTTGCTTTGACTAAAATACAGACAGCATCTTCATCCTATCATATTTGTCCTAAACAATATTGATTTTGGTGAATTATCTGAGAGTCTGTTGCAATTCTAAGGATTCAAGGAAACTTTAGCTCTTTATACTTCCACAGATCCAGAATGAGGAGAGTGTTATTCTTTTTCTGGTTGTTTGGACTGTGACTGAGATTACTCGATATTCCTTCTACACATTCAATATGCTCAACCATTTGCCATACTTCATAAAATGGGCCAGGTGGAGAATGCCTTGCAGTTTAGTTTCACATTGTTCTGAGCATGCTTTTTATGCATGCCTAATCAGCAAGGAAGAAATTTGCTTTGGGAGTTTTCCATGTATGTCTATAAAGTGATTTGATGTGCTTGAAACACAGTATAAATTCTTAGAATTGGATGTATTTTAAAAGCAGAATTATGTAACTTTTAGTTAACTTTCCCTTTGCTTATATCATTAATATTCCTAAGGCGTGCTTGTGTGTGTCTTTTAAAAAGACTGAATATTGAATTTATTTTTATTTGCTTATTAGACGTTTATCCTGCATTTATAATTTTTTATAAATATCTCCTCCTCCTGCTTTCCATGCAACAACTCTGTGAGGTAGGTTAAGCTGAGAGAGAGAGTGAGTAACTGGTCCAAGGTCATCCAGCTGCCCTTCATCTTTAAGAAAGACTAGAACTCCCAGTCTCCTGGTTTTTAGGCCAGCATCTTAATCACTACACCAAACTAGCTGTCTCAGTTACAAATTGTATATTTTCCTGGTTCTTATAAGATAGTCAGTGTATCGTTTAAGGTGTCCTCCATTTTTGCATATTGCAATGCAAAATGTTACTTATAAAATTTGTAAGAGGCTCTCTGTTCTGCCATTTTAGGCCATTATTTTGCTGGAATTAAATGTAAAAGAAGGTAAATAAAAATATGTAAGGTATGGTTTCTGGAAAGGCATGTGGTATCTAAAAAAATTAGAAAGTGATTTATTAGAGCACTTAAATTTCAAATATTCTATTCATATCCAACATGAGCTTTACTCCTAGGTAACTTCTCCTTCAGTAGCTAGTTGTTGTAGCCATATTGGTTTTCACGAAGTTTATGGATGGAAATTGAGGCTCTGGATATTATGATAGTGATTGTAGTATGTTGTTTTTTATGTCCATCCAGTAAAAGTGTTTTTCACTTTAGAAATTCAATCATAATCATATATTTTGCAAAGTACTACACAATTAACATTTGGGGCATTATTTTTCTTCTCAAGGTAGATCAGTTTTTTATTTTAACTAACATGAAATTAATTGAATTTCATGAAGAGCTTTCAAGCTGAATAGAGAATTGAACTTGGGTCTCTTTAGAAAGATGGGATCATTTTCCATCAAGCTGTACTATGTGTTCAATTAAGTGTCATTACAATGCTACATAAATGTGCAGTAACTAGCAATAAATTATAAGCAATGATAAGTAAAAAATGCCAGTAAATTAGCAATTTAAATTTTCAAACATTTCAATGGAACTAAAAAAAGAAAAAGAACGTATCACTTTGCTGATTTTTTCCCCACAAATAACTTTTATTGTAGAAATAAACATTGTTTTGCTGGAACATTGTTTTGTTCCTTCCTTGTGAATGTACAGAATTTAACTTCTAAGCTTGATTTACAGGATTGCAATACATGTAAAGGCTAAAACAATTTTCATATTATTTTTCAGAAGAAAATAGCACATACAATAGCTCCAGAGCAGCTCATTAACAATAAAGTAAGCAAATTAGTTCAAATTGTTTGAAACTTAACAAAATGTGTAATGACGATAATAGTCTTACTAAGTTTCAAACACTGAGCTTACTAAGTTTCAAACCAGAAATTCTGCAAGTTGTCTGAATTCATGGAACAAAGACAACTATAATCTAAAATAGAATTGCAAAAATCTATATGACAATTATATGGCAGCCATTCTTTTGTGAAATGAAAATGATAGCCCTAATCTGAACTTTTCCACTTGACTTTTTTAAAGTGGGTATTCAAAATTCAAAAGAGTTTTTGGTTCAGTTGACTTTTTGGTTTAAATTCTCAAATTTTGGTTTTGCATTTTTTTTTTTGCATAGGCATACTTTTAATCTACAGTTTATTGATTTGCAGTTGTTATAGTTAAAATTGCATTAATTGTTTTCTCCTTCAGAACATTTTTGAGCCTCTTGTTGAATTCCATTTATTCCATTCCAGTTGACCTATATATTCTCTAAGTTCATTAAATCTTAATGAAGTTTTCGTGTTCTGGGGCTGCTGCTTTAAATCTTAACTATTTTCCTCATGGAATGCCTTTTGTGCAGTTTTTGTAACTGTCTCCTTGCTTTTCCCAGCATGAGTTGAAGAGAGGTTTTATTTTATGAAGGCTACATTTGCATGCTGTATCTTGCATGAAAACTCTTCAAGTATTTTCATATCCTTTTGAAGGTTTTCAGTGTGTGACTTGACAACAAGTAAATAAGGCAATGCTTTTCAAAGCAAGCAGTCTTTCATTAAAAAAAAAACATCCTAGCATTTCCCAAGATGCCATTCCTTCAGTTGTGAGCTTTTATCCATATAACATCAATAGTTGCCTATAAGAAATAGCTGTGGGGATTGCTTGACTGCTGTTGTTTAGTTCATTTTTAAAACATTCAACCTAGCATTTTTAATGCCATCCTAAACTATTAGCACATATCTTCCAAGCTAAATATATAAGTGTCACTATAATCTAAGGCCTCATGTTCTTATAGAAAAGTAAAATGAATAAATTAACAAAAATTATAAGGAAGTAAGGGAAAAAGCAGCAATAACATTTTAGTATATCTTAGATTATAAATACTAATCTTTAAAACCTCTTATTGGTGAGAATAAAAAGTTTTCTAACTGGTATAAATATTCAGTGGAACCGTTATAGATCTGCTGAATTTTATAAAGACTATTTCTGGGTAGATAGCCAGTGCATTGTTACAGTATGCCCTTCAGTGAGAAACGGTCCATGCATCTCGACATATAGTCATGCTGGCCATATAACCACAGAAATGTCTTCAGATAATGCTGGCTCCATTAAGAAATGGGCACCACTCACTAGAATCAGACATGATTGGACATGGGAAATCTTTGCCTTTCTTTATGCAGTTATATTTCAAGTAGGCAGGGCTATCTATAAGGGAGAATGAAAAGATAGCCATAGCTGTGTAATTGAAATCATGTCTTTTTATGAGCGTCCACATTTTTTTAATTGATTGGATTTCTAGGCTGCCCATATCACTAATATATCAACTCTGGGCAATTTACAATATAATAAAAGGAAAGTAAAAAAAAATTAAAATAGAATAAAAAGTTTAAAATTAAAAACCAATATGATGGAAAGCTTGGGGGAAAGAATCTTTTCTATCTCATTAGTTGCTCCCAATATAGTAGGCCCCAGTCATGACCCCAACCAAGTAGCAGTGCATTTCCAGAAGGCCAGGGATGTGAGGTCGAATCCCATGTCCAATAGGAAAATATTCCAGATAATGGGGACTACAGTAGAAAAGGCTCTTCTTCTGGATTCCACTAGCTAAAATCCTTTGACTGATGGGATCTGAAGTATCCCTTTCATCTGGAATGAATGAGAGAGATTAATCCCAATGAGGTAAGGCAGTTCCTCACATGCAAGGATGATACTTTAGTTGTTGGTTGCAAGGCCCTTTCCCAGTGACATCCCTATGAACAGGTTTTCAGGCAGGGCTTCAAAGTAATATCAATATCTGAAAAAGATATGGCTTGCCCACCAGAATACATACATATTTAAAGCAAAGTTAAGAACACTACATTATGCTGGATACAAATACATTTTTCACTTGACAAACCATTCTATCCAGAACTTATTTTAGATAAATGCACATAGATTTTCAGTTCATCTTTCCTTTGCTAGCTGTGTGTTTAAAGCAGAAGACAAGCAATTTATCTGCTTTTATTTTTATCCCAGGTACAATTTTTTCATCATTCTATATCCAGTAGGAGTTGTTGGTGAGCTTCTAACAATTTATGCAGCGTTACCATATGTGAAGAGATCAGGCATGTTTTCAGTGAGACTTCCCAACAAATATAATGTGTCTTTTGACTACTATTATTTTCTGCTCATCGTCATGGCCTCTTATATACCATGTAAGTTTCAATGAATATATATAGAAATAATAATTTTTGTTTTATAAAACTACTTTTCAAGAACGCTATGAAAGTTATACTCATTTGAAATTAACTATTGCTTAATAATAAAACATGGGTCTTCAATGAAATTCTGTCAGGCATCACAACTCACAAGGTGTGATATCTAGAGTTAAAAAAGATTTTGAATAGCCTGGAATAAATTTTAGTGAGCAAGAGATCATGAAGAGCTGCTATTTACTGAGGTAGACAAAACTGCACTAGATTGATCAGTAGTATATTTCAGGTATTCCAGATTTATTGGATTTGCACAACCTAGAATTACTTCCCAGCATATCTTCATTATAAATCAGGAACATTGAGTTATTTTCTTCTCAAATGCTCGAAGTTATATATTGAAATAATTATCTATGAAATACTACCCAGTGTTATTCATTAATAATTCAATGAATATATTAATTCAAAATGATCATTTTGAAATAGTAATAAAACCTTATCAAAGACTAGTGCACAATAAGGTAAAAACAAATTCTTGGACTTTTATATATGGAAGTTTCTAGCCAATTTACTAATCCAAGATTCAGTTCCATATTCTTATCAGTTCAATGCATAACTTCAATACTGAAGTTTGATTGCACGTTTTATTTTCAACATAGTCTAATTTGTTTTATTTTTGGCTTTTTTTTTAGTGTTTCCACAACTGTACTTTCACATGCTACGTCAAAGAAGGAAAGTGCTTCATGGTGAAGTGATTGTAGAAAAGGACGATTAAAACAAACTTTGTAATCATGGTGCTTTTTCAGAGTAACAATCAAATCCTTCATGTTGTCAAGTCTGATTTGGAAATTATGGGACAAAATAAAACAACACAGATCATGATATGTTCTAACATAAATACACCCAAAGGCTTAAATGAAATTTTAGTCTTATTTTTCAGGCTGTTTAATATACTTTTGGTCACACATCTTAGCAGAAGTTGAATAGATTGGAATTTGTTTTTAAGAAATTCCCATTCATAATTTTAAATCATACTTGATTATTGAATTGAGATTATTGCACTAGCCTATTTGGATAAGTTTTACTTAGGAAATGCAAGTCCTGATTATGGTAACAAAATCTTTTTACCTATCCTTGAAGGTAAAGGCAGCTTTGAGTCAAGGTCAATTAGAAATGACAACCTGGAACAAAACTGTATTGTTTTTGTGGCAGTACTATGGAAACAGTTTACCATTGCCTTTTTTAGGATGTTTTTTCTCCCAAGGGTAAGCTACAATCTTGCTTTCCTTGGTGATTACACATCCACATGCTAATCAGGAATAAGCTTAGTTAACTTTTAAAACTGGCCTACTGAGCGGCATTTGAAAGTAGTTGGAAGACGCTTGTGACAGCCTCTTTCTATGTTATAAGATGATACTTAAGAGGAGGCCCCTAAGTAATGAAAATAGTTTTCTTTGTTAACAACATTGCATTAATAAATTTTCATTTCATGCTTAGTTTTTAACCAATTTTAAACTTAACATTCATTAAAATTATTTACATTGAATATAAACAATTTTTAAAATCATCACCCTGCCATAATTACAAGTGTAAATAAATAATTGAAAGTAGAACTAGAAGAGAAAATAGAAATAGAAATAAACAATAGAAATTAGTCTTAAATATAGAATAATTCATAACTGGAAGCAGTTGACAAGCAGATAAATGCAATATCTCTGCAAATCCAACCTGCTAAATTCCAGAATAATTTTTAAAAGGAACATTTAAGAAATAATTTTTAAATAACTGTTAAAAAAGCAGTAATTTTGTTTGCATTAAAAATTGTATAAAAAAATGTGTGAAAATATTATTACCCACTAGTTATGTAAGGGAAAACCATGGAAAACTTTGTCAATTTTTGGTTAGCATGGTGATGTTTAAAGGTTCTTAATTATTTTAACCCTTCTGGTTAAACAACAGAGCAATGTTGCAGAGCAAGTTTCATAGAAGCAAACAAAGGCTAGTAAAACTTTAGCTTCAATTCCAGAAAAGTAACCTTGGAGCACATGGGAGTTTGACTGCCACCGCTGTCTGCAACTCTTTTAAAGCAGCTATATCTTTCCCAAGATTTTAGATACAGCCACATCTGGTCCCATGCTAGGACCTAGTGTTCATTTTAAAGAGTTGCAAACAAATACCTATTTCCATAGGTTTCAGAATTTACTTTTCACAATTATTTCCAAAATGAAACACTGCCAGGCTGCTTCTTTCCGCTTCTTTCTTCTTCTGCTTTTGGCTGCATGCAAGGAAAGCAGCAAAAGTCTTTCTTTCTCTCCACCAAACTGCCAGAAATGAGTTTTTGGGACTCTGCAGGGCATCCTTCTCCAAGAGGCTGCGCCGGCATGACAAGTCTCACAAAGACTCATTTCTGGCAGAGTTTGGGGGGAGAGAAAAAACGACTTCTGCTGCTTCTGCTGCTTTCCTTACATGAAGCCAAAAGTCTCTCTCTCTCTCTCTCTCTCTCTCTCTCTCTCTCTCTCTCTCTCTCTCTCTCTCTCTCTCTCTCT